CTGGTGGCTCCAGGAAGTGTGTGATGTGCCTCCATTAAGAGATTTAGGTTGCTATTCCCCTGTGGAATCTTCCAAAGACTAGACTCAGATTGTGTGTCCTCCATGTTTCAGCAATAATCACAACTGAGGAACCCAAGACTTCATTATCATTCCACAATTCAAAAACTCTTCACAGCAGCCTGAGAATCATTCAGGCTGAATATTTAATTTGAATTTAATTAACTGTTACGAATCCAAAGTATTGCCTATTCCTCAAAAACCTTCCCAGGGGTTTCAGTCAAAGAACTTTTCTGTATCTTCTCTCTTTGGACAGGTGGAAAATTCTGGTGATCCATGGCTCAAAGGTAGAAATTCACAGACTTTATCTTACTTTGACTCAATTTACTTGGTTGTGGCAACAACGTCAACTGTTGGCTTTGGAGATGTGGTAGCCCGGACATCCCTGGGACGGACCTTCATCATCTGCTTCACCCTTGCGAGTTTGGTGAAGAGTGCTTTTAATCTTGTTTTGAATATAGATACATAAATAGGAAAAAAATGGCTAGTGACTGATAAGAAAGCAATTTATGTTGGAGAATAAATGTTGCATAATTCAGAGCGAGTGCCAAATAAAAAGTTACATAGGTCCCATTATTTTCTATCCTGCATTTCCTGTAGCACATGATGTAAGTGTTTGGCTACCAGGGATGAAGGATGACAGACAAACAAGAACAGGCAGTCTTTATTAGCACCTAACGTGTAGTGGCTACGAATCGGGCTGTGAACCTTAAGGTCAGCGGTTCGAAACTACCAGCTGCTCCGCAGGAGAAAGATGAGTCTTTCTACTCCCGTAAAGATTTACACCCTCGGAAACCCTATACAGGCTCGCTATGGGTCGGAACCGACTCAACGGCACTTAACAACAACAAATACATTTAATAAACCCTGCTTTCTTTCCTTTTTGGCCCTTCAGATTAAAATCTTTGTTCTGAAGAGAAAGGGCATTTGAGATTTTATCCGAGGCTCAAATTAGTTGGCTTCCACTGAAACGGTGTCTTCCTTTAGGTTAGTGAACATCCATGTTTGGTTTGAGAGTATAGCAAGGACCAAGGAAGCCTTCTTTTCTTTTCATGACATTAATAACAGTTTACTAAAGACCATAATAAAGTACTTCCCTCTATATATGTAAATTGCCTTTGTCCACAACCTTTATTTCAACCATTTCACCTTAATTCTCCTGTCTCTACATATGGTCTCATAACAATGTAGTCAAAACCTTGGCAGAGGAGTTACAATTTAAGCAAGGAGCAAAACAGGTAAGAAGCTGTCTTACAGCTTGTCTTTGCTTCCATCATTTGAATGCTGAAAAGTATATATTAAATTTGAACCAAATCCAAAGACTGAAGAAAGGAAGAATACGTTCTCCCTTTAAAAGACAGGTTATACTCACATCCTTTGTAGCTGAGAGAGCATTTTATATACCTTCTTCTTTATGATATTAGTACTTGGGAGCATTCTTTAAAATATTAAGAGCTAATATTTTGTTTGCTGATTATTTTAGATACTATTTGCAAAATATGTCCCTGAAATTGTGGAACTTTTTGCTAACAAAAGGAAATATACTAATTCCTATGAAGTAGTCAAAGGGAAGAAGTAAGTATCTTTTCAAGTATATTTTCTACAGTTTGATTCTATGTCATTCTAAACACCTGATATCATTGCCTTATCTAGTTATAGAACTCAAAGTGAACACTTTAACAAGAGTTGTCACTCATCCAAATAAAATCTGTAAGAAGATATTTGGTACTTAATATACTACCAACAACAAATCAACTCACTGTCATGGAGTCAATTCTGACTTAGACCAACTCAATAGGATACTAATATTAGAACTGCTCCTTAGGGTTTGAAGCTATAAATCTTTATAGGAGCAGACAACTTTAACTTTTTCCTTCGGAATGACTTGTGTAGTTAGCTTAAGCCATGGTGCCACTTGTAAAAAAAAAAAAAAAAAAA